CATGAAGATCAGAGATCTCCAGGAGTTCCATTAACTGCCAGCAAATTTCCGGAAAGCTGGTAATATATTAAAATTGATTTAGAAATCATAGTTAGGACATGTTGCCAAAAACGGGAAGGCACTGTAATGACCCATGCTAAAATTGCATGTAAAAACATAATTCATACAACCATCAGAGCAGTTTCGAAAACTTCAGGGATATTCCGAGAACTTTAGAAAAGTCCAGAACTTTAAGGAAGTTTAAGTAAAGAACCTCAAGTTCCAAAAACGTCAGGACAGTTTGATAAACTTCCGCAAAATCTTCATGAAGATCAGAGATCTCCAGGAGTTCCATTAACTGCCAGCAAATTTCCGGAAAGCTGGTAATATATTAAAATTGATTTAGAAATCATAGTTAGGACATGTTGCCAAAAACGGGAAGGCACTGTAATGACGCATGCTAAAATTACATGTAAAAACATAATTCATACAACCATCAAGCAGTTTCGAAAACTTCAGGGATATTCCGAGAACTTTAGAAAAGTCCAGAACTTTAAGGAAGTTTAAGTAAAGAACCTTAAGTTCCAAAAACGTCAGGACAGTTTGATAAACTTCCGCAACATCTCCATGAAGATCAGAGATCTCCAGGAGTTCCATTAACTGCCAGCAAATTTCCGGAAAGCTGGTAATATATTAAAATTGATTTAGAAATCATAGTTAGGACATGTTGCCAAAAACGGGAAGGCACTGTAATGACGCATGCTAAAATTACATGCAAAAACATAATTCATACAACCATCAAGCAGTTTCGAAAACTTCAGGGATATTCCGAGAACTTTAGAAAAGTCCAGAACTTTAAGGAAGTTTAAGTAAAGAACCTTAAGTTCCAAAAACGGCAGGACAGTTTGATAAACTTCCGCAAAATCTCCATGAAGATCAGAGATCTCCAGGAGTTCCATTAACTGCCAGCAAATTTCCGGAAAGCTGGTAATATATTAAAATTGATTTAGAAATCATAGTTAGGACATGTTGCCAAAAACGGGAAGGCACTGTAATGACGCATGCTAAAATTACATGCAAAAACATAATTCATACAACCATCAAGCAGTTTCGAAAACTTCAGGGATATTCCGAGAACTTTAGAAAAGTCCAGAACTTTAAGGAAGTTTAAGTAAAGAACCTTAAGTTCCAAAAACGGCAGGACAGTTTGATAAACTTCCGCAAAATCTCCATGAAGATCAGAGATCTCCAGGAGTTCCATTAACTGCCAGAAAATTTCCGGAAAGCTGGTAATATATTAAAACTGATTTAGAAATCATAGTTAGGACATGTTGCCAAAAACGGGAAGGCACTGTAATGACCCATGGTAAAATTGCATGTAAAAACATAATTCATACAACCATCAAGCAGGTTCGAAAACTTCAGGGATATTCCGAGAACTTTAGAAAAGTCCAGAACTTTAAGGAAGTTTAAGTAAAGAACCTTAAGTTCCAAAAACGGCAGGACAGTTTGATAAACTTCCGCAAAATCTCCATGAAGATCAGAGATCTCCAGGAGTTCCATTAACTGCCAGCAAATTTCCGGAAAGCTGGTAATATATTAAAATTGATTTAGAAATCATAGTTAGGACATGTTGCCAAAAACGGGAAGGCACTGTAATGACGCATGCTAAAATTACATGCAAAAACATAATTCATACAACCATCAAGCAGTTTCGAAAACTTCAGGGATATTCCGAGAACTTTAGAAAAGTCCAGAACTTTAAGGAAGTTTAAGTAAAGAACCTTAAGTTCCAAAAACGGCAGGACAGTTTGATAAACTTCCGCAAAATCTCCATGAAGATCAGAGATCTCCAGGAGTTCCATTAACTGCCAGAAAATTTCCGGAAAGCTGGTAATATATTAAAATTGATTTAGAAATCATAGTTAGGACATGTTGCCAAAAACGGGAAGGCACTGTAAAGACGCATGCTAAAATTACATGTAAAAACATAATTCATACAACCATCAGAGCAGTTTCGAAAGCTTCAGGGATATTCCGAGAACTTTAGAAAAGTCCAGAACTTTAAGGAAGTTTAAGTAAAGAACCTTAAGTTCCGAAAACGTCAGGACAGTTTGATAAACTTCTGCAAAATCTTCATGAAGATCAGAGATCTCCAGGAGTTCCATTAACTGCCAGAAAATTTCTGGAACATAACAGAAGACCCAAGAAATTCAGGGAAGTGCAGAGAGCTTCGGGTATGTTTAATAATCTTTAGGAATGATTAAATGACTTTGGAACACTTCTGAGCAGCGTTGATAAAAATAATTTCTTCTACTCTAAAATTAGCTGAAAACCGAGGCAACCTTAAAGATAATAATTTCGACACGACATTTCTTGATCAAAGCAACCGCTAACCAGAACCGTTTTAGTGGCACGGTATACATAAACATGTACACCGTGTTGATGGGTATGATTTTAGTATCAAATCTAGTTGGAGCTGGAATTAGGGTGTAATAGCTTTTGTAAACAATGACTTCTCTCACCTTTTTTTCTTTGATTTGTTGCAATGTGGGCGGAAGCCGAACGGAAACGGAAAGTTTGACAGTTGTCACAAATGACATCAAGATGCCTAACCGAAGTCGATTTGGTTCTAACTAGTTTTCAATCCGACAAGTAGGCTAACTCAAATCGGGCCTTTTCGCTGCCGCTGCCATTCCACTTCCGCTGTCATTGCGCGTTACCTATCGACCCATCAACTAATGAACCGGGGACCAACGCTTTTCTTCCCCGAAGGAAGGCGTGATCAGAGATGTTATGCCTCAGCACATCCCGGTGACGCTGACTGGGATTGAACCCAGGCCTGCTGGGGTGAGAGATAATCACGCTTACCACTGCACCACCGGCGCCACTACTTTTCTCTGTGATTTCTAGGATTTCAAGGCGCGCCCACGCAAACCAATATTATCAGTGGATAGGGGAAGACTAACTGCTTCTTCTTCTTCTTCTTATTCGCATTTCAAGCTTATTGCTCTATGCATATTAGCTTATTGCGTGCTCTCAACTTAGTGTTCTAAATACACTTCCACAGTTATTAATTGAGAGCTTTCGATGCCAATACCAATGCATGAATTTGTATATTGTATGGCAAGCACAATGATACTCTATGCTCAGGGAAGTCGAGAAAATTTCCAACCAGAAAAGATTCCCTCGACCGGACCGGGAATCGAACCCACCGCCTCCGGCTTGGTAATACCGTGCCTTTACTGACTAAGCTATAAGGCCCGTTACCTTACTGCACCACGTCAAACGCTGAGCGAATTGTGTGGTGCCGCTAGATGTGTTCTTCAGTATCAAAGCCTTATTTTTTTGAAATTCCATAATCAATCGAACGATCATATTTTCTCATAATTTTCCTGTAGTTTGCTGAACTTTACTAAAGGTGAAACAGTTTTCTGGAACATTATGGAACTATCCTGAAGCTCTCTGAACCTTTCCGAAGTTCTTGGACTTTTGAAATTTTCGTATAAAATTTTAAATCCAAATCTAAACAGCAAAACGATGCCTTAACATATTGAAACTATGCAGTGATGGATTTATTTTCAAAAAAAAAATCTTTCGCTGTTCTTCAGAGAATTATTTCGCTGAAGAATGAGCTATGCAAAAATCACGAACGAAATGAGAACAAATCGATTCCTAAGGAGAATTCCGTTTGCGCTCTCTCGACCTATTTCACTAAATATTGAGAAACGAGCTAGTTGAGTTTATTGTCTCCTATGTCATGTCTCGTCGAAGAATGATCCTCTCGCTGAACTTCTGCTACTCAGCTGATGTCTAGACTAACATCTGAAAAAGGCGTAACTCCAAAATGACCATATCGAGAAAATCGCTTCGGAATTTTGATGACCTAATAATTAATCCTATTTCGCGACTTTCCATTTCCTGGATGATTTTATAAGCTTGACATATAGTTAATAGTGTAATCTATCATCATGCATCACTAAAAACTCAAAAAAGTTTTCTTTATCGTGAAATTGAGAATAAAACATCATAAGCCCTGATAATTTCTTACATGTTGTTAACCCCCGGATCTTCCATCCTTTGAACTGATACGCCGTGGAAATACACCCTCGGAATTTTTTGTTTGTTGTTCCGCCTTGGTCCTTCGTTCGTAAAATTTGTGAGAGTGGAATGGGTTCGAGTCCCGGTACAGTCTAGGAATTATTTGGGTTCAACAATTTCTCGACTTCCCTGGGCAAAGAGTATGATTTCACTTGCCACACAATTATACTAATGCAAAAATGGTACAGACATCGAAAGCTCTCAATTAATAACTGTGGAGATGCTCAAAGAACACTGAGTTTAGGGCCGGAATATCGTCTCAGTAGGGATGTAAAAAGCCAAAGAAAGGAGAGAGGATGTAATGCTTAATGCGGAGTGTTCCATGAATTTCTACATCAATTATTTATTATTTTTTCACAGTGAGATGCAACCCCTTGTTAAACAGCGTAATTAATCATTATTGTTTTCAAATTAGAGTAAAAAAAGCCAAGGAAACCCCAAACTTTGCCGCCAAGACAAAAAAAAATAAAACGCTCTAGAGTCAGTAGACCATCTGCGGCAACAGTCACCTTTCCTCGACATCCAAATACACGTGAAAGCTCATTTCCTTACCCGAATCAACAAACAAAATTCCACCGAGAGTCTTCTGAAAAGGGTACTGAAAAAATGATGAGTCTGAGGAGACAAACTTTTGTTTTAATTATTTATTCCCGTGATGCGAAAACCAACTTTTAATTGGCAAAAACAACACACAGCCGAAATGGGCTAAAAGGCTTCACGGAAAACTTTACCACTAGCAAAAGTCTTGCCCGAGCGCATCCGTCGTGGATAAATTCCCGCTTGTGAGAAAGAATGTTTCCTCGAAATGAAATCCATATGAATTAATCCCCAGCTAATTTAACTTGGAGATGACGTGTCCCTGTGCAGCGGAACCATAATTACAACAAAGCTAACCTATCTTTCATTTTGTATCGTTTCAGCAAACCGAAAAGTTTGTGCCATCCTTCGCGACGGTGTCGTTCGCCGTCAAAAGTATTTCGCAACAATTTAATTGGACTGAAGCAATTTTGTTCGCTGCAGGTAAGTCATCGTCCCCGTTTAGTGCCCGTTCTTTTTCTCTCCCAGGAAAATTCACCGGAAAGCACTCTCGAACAGGGAAAGAAAAATTCAAATTTCCCACCGTTGATTTTGCATTTTTATGTTTTCATCGAAGCTTTCCGCTTAGCCCGTCTTCATCTGGGTAGGAACGATTCAAAACATGTGATGGGAACGACAGCGACGCTACCAGCCAATTTAAAATCCACAAAGCCATTGACCAAGTTCTCGGAATGAGGTTTATGATTTGAATTACAAATTTTTATCAACTTCAACCGGGCGGAATATGAGTGGACCATCATGGTTGGAGACTCTGGGGATTATATGCGGACAAATTGAAGAGTTTTTTTTTTATAAATTGAATGTTTTGATCAAATCTGCGTCCATTTCCGTACTACAGGATTCCTACTACTTCATTTTGAAAACAGTTCTAGATTTCTTATAGGCCATTTTCGCGGCTTCTAAACCTTCATCAATATTTAGCATTTGTTGCACAGACTCATATTTGGGGTTTATGAATCAAACTGGAGGGTTGCCTATAAGAAAATTAACCCGGCCCTTTGATAATGTACCCAGCAACCAAACGTGTGTGGTCAAATGCGTAACAGTATTGAAGTGGGACATAAGAATGCTCGCAATGACCGAATACCACATGACCTTGTCAACTAACCAAAAACACTTCGAATTAAGGTAAGGTTTTCTCCAGGACGCTAGAAAAAGCAACAAATCTCGAATTTATATCATTGATCGCAAATATCTCGCGATTATTTTTGATTATTGATTTTTTTTATTATCTATTAAATAAACCAAAAATTCCGTAAGTTTTGTGCACGAAAATGCGTAATATTGTCATCAAAACTTGAGGGAAAAGTACTTAATTTTGCGTAGTTTTTCATCTCCGTGTAGAGCTTTCTGACGTTTAATCGGCGCACACCACTGCACCATTTAAATCAAACGAGTGTGAGCAAACGGGAAACGAATTAGTGGGAAAACAAAACCGTCCATTGATCCATGTGTGCTAGATAGAGAAAGACGATTAAACGTCAAAAAGGTCAATGCGCAAAGAATATTCGATTTGGATGAAACTTTGCGCAGGGTTATTTGGAAACAAGCGTAATTTTTCACAAGGGCGTATTTGTTTTGGCACACAATTTATTCAAACAATCCTACTTGGAAAAACTTCGAGTGTAGAGCAAAACCGTCTAGAAAAAAAATCAAGGTTAAATATTAGGCTTAACGAAAAAACAAATAATCAGAAAACAATGCTCATTTCGTTTGACGAACGTGAACTGAAAATGTCTAGGTTGTTCTGTGATTAGGTAAAACTTCAGTCAATTTATGAAACTCGTCTTAGAGTCCTGCGGTTTTTTTGAACGCATTTCGCACCAAATCGAATCGAAGCTAGCAGCACCCTCTCAGATTTCAATAAAATTTTCTGGATGTGTAGACTTTGACTAAATAAGCACTTTTGCATACTCAGTTTTTCCAAAATTTATCTAGACTAACATTTGAGAAGAGCCAAACTTTTTCTGCCGATTTTTTTCAAAAATATATTATGGAAAAATGACAACTCCTAAAATAATGTGTTGTATGGATGACTTTTAGGAAATTGACCAAATTATCGAAAAAAAATACTGAAACAAATTTCATTTGAGACCTACACTGAAAACAATCAATTTTTTAAATTTAAAGTCGATTTAAAAAAAAAATGGTTATGTTTGATTAAGATGCAACTTTGCCTCAAGATAGGTAATTATGTTTACTACCCAGTCTACCATCCGTCCAAGCCTCGCAAGATAAGAACTTTTAAGGAAAAAAGTTTTTCTTACAAAAACTTTTTCATGTCTGAACTGATTTTTTTAACGTACCTTTTTACACAAAACTAAACCAGTGAAGCTCAAAATCATCTCAGAACCCAATGAAGCTCCATTTGTGATTCAATTTTGTCTTATCAGCACTTAAGTTCACTTTGATAAATCGAGAATTTCATATGAAAAGGGTTCATGATGCATTTCTCGCCAAATCGTATTTAGAATTGACAGCATCCTCTCAAAAATCAATAAAACTATTTGGACATGTAGACCTTGTTAAAAAAATATCATTCCCTTATTCTGTTGTCTATTACTGATGCAACATTTGATAATATGAGCGAGAAAAAAGACAAGATTTTTCATATATCATTTATTTATATATTTTCAATGTTTTAAACCTATTTTCATACATGCTATTTTTTCCTTTTTCCAATCAAGTAAAATATTTTTGGTTCATCTTCTGAATTAGAATACCTTTTTGCCGCTACTTTGTCACCAGTTATAGACACACAACTGTGGAATTTCTATGTGCCAGATATTGTATTTGTGCTGTTATATATGACATTTCGATGTACTGTTCAGTGGATATGTACTCGAAACGTAGTTTTGTGATATTTTTTATCTGTTTGTTCAACTGCCCAGTATATAATTCTCGTGAAGTTGTAATGGTGTTTCCATAATCTCGAGCAAAACTAGCTCTCTTTGCCATTCGCTTGAGAGTGCCACCACTGGCATCACAGGGACCTTTTCCATGAGACGTTGCAAAAAAATGCCATTCTGCTTCTAATCCATGCTTTGACTGAAATCTACACAGACTAGCAAAGTTTTTTTTTTCAGTGTAGGTCTCAAATGAAATTTTTTCCAGTATTTTTTTTTCGATGGACAATTTCCTAAAAGTCATCCATACAACACATTTTTGTAGGAGTTGTCATTTTTCCATAATATTTTTTTGAAAAAAATCGGCAGAAAAAGTTTGGCCCTTCTCAAATGTTAGTCTAGATAAATTTTGGAAAAACTTTGTATTCAAAGTGGCATATTTAGTCAAGTTGCACACATCCAGAAAGTTTCATTGAAATCTGAGAGGGTGCTGCCAACTCCGAATACGATTTGGCGCGAAATGCGTCTTATAGAACGACTCATTAGAATGAATTTGGACTTCTGACCGGAAAATTAAGCCCGGGGTCATGCGGTGATTTTCGGAAGATACCGAACAACAGTGAAAGTGGTCAATACATGAAACTGAGCCTAGAGCTCTGCGATTATTTCGAGAACACGTACACGGGTAAAAGTGAAAAACTCATTTGAACGAATTCGGACTTGTTGCCGGAAAATGGACACAGGAATCTACTGGGTGAGCTTTCGGAAGGTCCTGAACAACAGCGAAAATGGCCAATTCATGAAACTGGGCCTAGAGACCTGTGTTTTTTTTTCGAAAGCACTTCTAGAAGACTAATTATAATGAATTCGGACTTGTGACCGGAACCTGGGCTAGCTTCTAAATAATTCGGAACATTAGTAGAAGTGCTCAGTTAATAAAATTGAACCTAGAGTTCAGCAGTTTTTTTTTTAAGTTCTTCTAGAAGACTCACAAGAATAAATTCGGAAAATAGACCCTATTGGGCAACGGAGTTTTCGGAGGACTGCCGAAAAATGTTTACATTTTCGTGTATGCAGACGATGTTCTTATCGTAACTACCGGCCCAACAGCAGCACGCAACAGGATCAAGGTCCAGGCAGCAGTCTCCGCTGTAGCCAGGTTGGCCAGCGCGGTAGGTTTCCAGCTTTCGGACACCAAAAGCGTCCATTCCGGCACCGTGTCAGCGGGCTACCTATTAAAGTTCAAAGCCAGCCCACACCACTGAAGAAGACGGTCCGTATTCTGAGGGTACTTGTTGACCGGTCCCTCAACTTCGAGCAACACTTTAAGGCGATCAAGAACAACTGCCGCAGTAGGATCAACTTGATCCGCACTATCTCTCGCCCCCACCGGTCTAACAATCGTGACACTCGTTTCCGGGTTGCAAGAGCCGTCATCGATAGTCGCCTACTGTACGGTCTTGAGATGACGTGCATCGCCACCGAAAAGCTCGTGCAGATACTAGCACCAACTTTTAACACCTACGTTCGGATTGTCTCCAGTCTTCTTCCGTCAACGCCCACCGATGCCGCATGCATCGAAGCGGGTATTCTGCCCTTCCGCCATCGTATAACCGCAGCTATTGCAACGAAAGCCGCTGCCTTTACCGCAATGACCTCCGGAAATGACAGGATCTTTCTCCTCGATGAGGGGAACAGACTCCTCCGCATGACTGCCAATTCGGAGCTCCCCCCAGTGACCAAGGTCCACTGGTACGGAGACAAAAGTTGACGCATACCTCCAAAAGCAGGTTCAAGGCTGGAGATAACTCTGCAGCGCTGAAGAGAACAATAGCCGAACTGCTAGGCACGGACTATCCAACCCATGCCCACATATGCACAGACGGATCGCTTTCCCGAGTCGGGGTCGGAATTGGAGTAACCGGAATTTCAGCACCGATGAGTAGCAGCCTACCACCACAATGCTCAGTTTTCTCCACCGAAGCTGCGGCCATCTTTGTTGCCGTTACAACACCCTCGGACCGGCCCATACTAGTGCTATCCGATTCGTACAGCGTGATACAAGCCCTTACATCGGAGACCATGACTCACCCCTGGATACAGGGTATTGTGGAGGCCACACCTCCGAACACGGTGTTTTCCTGGAACCCTGGGCACTGCGGTATCCCAAGAAACAGCGAAGCCGACAGCCTGGCAGGGTCTGGACTAGCTGGCCCCCGTTACACCGACGAAGTGCCACCACAGGACATAAAGCGATGGATAGTCAGCAAAATGTGGGAAGCCTGGGAAGCAGAGTGGTACCAATTCCAATCCCTCTTCATCCGAAGAATCAAAGGAAGACGAGCAAGTGGACGGATATGTCGAAACTACGGGACCAGAAGGTGGTTTCTCGTCTTAGGACAGGCCATACAAGGATCTCACATAGTTTTGGTGGGACGCAGTTACACAGAATGTGCTACGTTTGCGGAACCACTGCATCGGTGGAACACATCCTATGCCTGTGTCCGCAATACCAACAACTAAGGGAGCAGTACGCACTTCCCAACAGCATTAGGGACATATCGGGCGACGAACCTT